AGTTTGTATGACAATAGTATCAAGAAATTCTTTACCGATGAAGGCCAAGAATTCAAAAGTATAACACTTGTGTCAGCAGTATTCTGGTGTGAAAGGAAACTATAGGCGCACTATCACTTCCATTTTATTTGGAAATCTTGTCGATAAGTCCTTGTGCTCCTTTCACACATTTATTCAATTCCTATAATAAAGGTCAGAGACAAGGGCCGAGATACTGGTCACAGTATTGTAGAACGCCCTCCAGGTGAATTCAAACATGACTGAGAATAATAATATAGCAAATGCGACCAGTTATTGATGTTAGATGGTAAATAATACTTAAATTTGCTGACGTCGAGCTTTCGCTGTTCTACAGCATCATCATGATTGAATTGAATAATTAAATTCCCTCAAGAAACATTTGAAGAAAATCGACCTCAATACTTTATAAAGATAATATATACCTTTCCACAATTTTATATATAATATATAATACATAATTTTGTATTAATGATAAATATGCATGTATGCACAATGTGGCACTTCATGATTCATAATGGTAAGGGACTGTGCAATCTTTATCATGAGAAGGTGAGGGTGAGAAATGAGCCAAAAAATCAATTTTAGACGTCCCCCCCGTCTCCCCTTAAGCACATAAATTTAGATTTTGACTCCCCTCCCCACTTGGAATCTCAAATCCCTTACCCCCTCCTGATAAATATTGCGCAATCCCTAACGTCATGTGAAAGCCAATCCCGAATATTCTCCAATTGCACGAGCGCTGGGGGCAGCACAGCTCAATCAGATGCGTAATGTAATCACTACAATAATAAATTCCAGCACTCTTAAAGGAGTCATTTAATACTTCCCTACGGCTTTGTGGAAACATGGAGGAGTTTAATATTCACGAAATTACATCAATTGATGCTTCAGCTATTCTGTTTATTAAGGAAACGATGGCATCATTAGAGTGCCGTCCTGGATTGGAAGATGTTGAATGCTTCTTAGCAAGCGACCACCCTGGTATTTATATAGGAGAGTTGAACGGTACGCCTATTGGCTCAGTGTCTTTCACAAAATACTGTAGCACATACTACTCGTTTGGCCTGTACCTTGTCGAAGAGATATACCGTGGAAAGGGCTATGGGATGCAGATTTTCAACACTGCAATTAAAGAGATTGATTCATCTCAGAATATTTCTGCATATGCTGTCCCAAGCATCGCTAAAAAGTACGAGATTCATGGATTTCGAACACAGTGGTTGTGTTCAAACTATGATATCAACCTAACGAAGGCCCTTGAATTCCTCAAAGCCATTCCATCCAATCAAAATGGTTTAACTGCGAAAAGCACCACCGAAATCGACCAAGAAGCTCTACTGAGTTACGATACAGCTGTGTTTGGTTATCAGCGGAACAGTTTCTTAATGAAATGGCTCCACGCCAAAGGAAGCCATGTGAAAGTGGTTGTAAACAGCGAAAGAACCATTGTCGGTTATGCTGCCGCGAGAGTAGCGTACCTACAGCACGAAGGCTACCGACTTGGCCCGCTGTTTGCGGATTCTGATGAAGCTGCAAAAGTGCTACTAAAAGCATTGTTTGAAGAGATTCTCTGCAATGGGATCTCTACTTCGCACTCCGTTACTATCTTTTGTCTCAAAAGGAATTCAAACTCCATGGAACTGATGGAGCAACTCCACGGCAAGCATACCTTCGATCTAGCATACATAACTACAAAAGGTGTCCCTAATGGTTGTTTTGATAAATGGTTTGGTATTACATCACCTGAGATTGGATAAACTAACTGAAACGCTAGTCATTTTAGGGGGGAACCTTGTGGAAGGGTTGTTCTCGTGGTCACTTTCAGGAATTAAAATCAGTACTTTTACCACTCTTCTGATGATAATGAAGTGAATTTACAACAATTGAGAAAATGACAACAGACCTGCCCTAAAACGGTTATACAAGATCAAGAATAATACTACGTAATTATAAAATCATACAGGTAGACGGCGCATGACGCTAGTGTTCATAAATGAATGACCTTGTAGCTCAACTGGTAGAGCATCTGTAGTACAAATCCGAGGGTTGTGAGTTCGAATCTCAGAGAGTTCGGAATAAATTGATTTTTCCGAATTTATTTCCAAGGGTCTTTCTCCCGGAATAACCTCCTTCCTAACACTATAACGTTCCTTTATGTACAAATAATATCAAGAGATCGAACTAAACTAGAATGACAGATTATTGATTAAATCAAAACCTTTTCTCGAGATTTTTTAGTAATTTTCCAAGTTTTCCATTATATTATTGCATGAACTTTAGAGATTGGGGTCACGGCGACTTGGTTGAAATGAACACTCTTCTATACTAATAATAATAAAATAATGGTTTTCAAATTAAAACAATGGTCAATTAAACAGAGTCTGTCATATAATGACATAGCATGATTTTCAGATAGACCTGGGTTCGGCGGTAAGGCTATCCTCCCCAAACTCCCTAGTCATAGTACGCTAACTCCCACGTTTGCACACAAATGTGTTTCTTATCCCGAACCTGCGCTGTTCTTGGTCAGCGCCTAAAAGGGAAGACTCTTCGGATACGTAGCTTTTCATCGCTAAACGAGGCAACGAGGGCAGCCTTGGATTCAAGAAATTTCTAGCTATCCGCTCAGTTCTTTAAAAGACAGAAACCATCATGGCAGCATATTCACAACATTTAGGGTACCAAGCATATTCAAAGATGGATCCAAAA